CAGCATCATCAGCAGCATCACCATCATCATCAGCTTCATCACCATCATCAGCATCATCCGCCTCCTCCTCCTTCTTCTCCTTCGACTCCTCCTCCTCCGCCTCGTCCTCCTTCTCCCACCACCACCCAACCCATGTCCCGAGCTTGTGGCAGGGTCATGAGCTCGTCGTTTGACGTTGTCGTCGTGGTGGTCGTCGTGGTCGTCGTCGTCGTCGTCGTCCTTCTGCGTGGGCGGCACCGGCCGTAAGGCCGGCCGTCAGTCCTGCACAATCAGACTGGAAAGGAGGACAAGGGGGAGAAGTGTGTCTCCGAGGGTCCCCGAGGGCCTCCAGATGCCCCTGGGAGCTTCCAAAAGCCGGCAAAGGGGGGGGGGAAAAAAACAACAACAAAAAAGTGCCAACCGATGCCTTTAATTGAAGATCCCCCAGGGCCTCGTAAGAAGCCAGAAAGCACCTGCGGAGCCATGAAAAGGACTCAAGGCATTCAAAAACCTCGAACATCGAGGATCAAGACCACCTCCCTCATGCCGCCCCTGTCTGCGCGCCGCCAACCATGAAGGAGGATCAGTTCTTCAGTGATAACAACATGATGCTCCAACAAGTGCCGTCTGACTAGAATCACAGCTCTGACCATCAGATGCACATTGTGAAAATGTGATGCGAGGCGGGAATGTATCCATAACCACCGCTTTGGGGGCATGAACAGATCCCCGCCTCGGAAAAACAGGAAGAGGAGGAGGAGGTGGAGGAGGAGGAGGAGCAGGAGGGCCTTCCAGCCTCCGTCGTACGAGTCGCCGCTATCGAAGACCTGGCGCCCCAGCCCGCTGCGCTTACCGTCCCGGAACTCGCCCTCGAAGGTGACCCTGCCGCCCTCCTTCGCGCGGGCGAGCGCAGGCCAGACCCAGACCCAGCCACCCGACGACGGGACATGTTTCGGCCACTGCACTCTTCCTTCATCTTCGACCACCGATCCTCGACGATCGTTTTCCTCGATCCTGTTCGATCCTCCTCTTCCTCTTCTTCCTCCTCCTCCTCTCCTCCTCCTCCTCCGGCTGCTCAACGCCCCTCCCGCGCCGCCCCATCTCCCCAGACACCCACCAGACTCATACGTTCCACCCCGGCGTTCTTCACATGTTTGCTGCCCTCCGTCAGGCGTTGCATCACTGGGGGGCAACACAGCGGGGGGCAAAGAAGGGAGCACCTTTCGTACACCTTCGGGGCCCCGGACCCCAGGGTCCCCTGTTGGGCCTCTGTGAAGCCTCTTTAGGGCCCCCAGGGGGCCCTTCAGGGCCTCTTTAAGGCCCATGTGCCTCCTTAGGGTCCTTGAAGGGTTTCTTTAGGGCCCCTTTAAGGCCTCTTTAGGGCTCCTCGTCAAGGCAATTTAAAGGCCTTTTCAGGGCCTCTTTACAGCCCCCTTTGGGACCCCTTCGAGGCCTCCTCAGGGTCCCTTGAGGGGGCCTCCTCGTCCTCCTGCTCCTCCTCTTCCTCCTCCTCCTCCTCCTCCTCCTCATCCTCCTCCTCCTCCTCCTCCTCCTCCTCCTCCTCCTCCTCCTCCTCCTCCTCATCATCATCATCATCATCATCAGCATCATCTCATCCTCATCCTCATCCTCATCCTCATCCTCATCCTCATCCTCATCCTCATCCTCATCCTCATCCTCATCCTCTCCTCCTCATCCTCATCCTCATCCTCCGCCTCCGCCTCCTCATCCTCCTCCTCCTCCTCGTCCACTCCTGTTCCCTATGCATAGCTCCCTCGTGCCCCGAAGCCAGTCGGAAGGGCGGGCCAGGCGTTTCGCCTGAGACGCCCTTACCATTGATAAGCCTGAAGCTCAGAGACCGGCAGTAGCCTCACAAAGGGCGGGTCGCTTCCAGAAGGTTCACGGAGTGAGGGCGGGTGGTTTTCAAACTGTGGCCCTCGCCTGAGCGCCATACACACTCGTCAAAAAAACGTCAAAACTTCGCGGACCGAGAGCGCCGCGCACCTTCGTTCTAAGCTTTTGCCAGAGCTTCACGATCGCAGGGCGGCTCGTTCTCAAAATGTGGCTCTCGCCTGAGCACCGCGCACAGTCGTTCTGACAATGTGCACGAGCCTCACGGCTTGAAGGCGTCACCTGTTCAAAATGTGGCTCTCGCTCTAGCGCCGCGCACATGCGCTTTAAACCTACGCACGAGTTCGGCAGATTATCATCGCTAACCTCCCCGAAGTGATGCTTTCGAACGATTCAGGATTGATCCTAGGAGTTGTTTTCTGACTTAGGATCAGCAAATTGCCACAGACAAGCTGGCTCGTGGCGTTGAAGTCCTGAGAATGGTAATCTGGCGCGCCTCAAGATTTTCACACGGTTGTCTCCCAACGAGGCACTTCCCTCGGTGTAAGTGAATCCTTGTATGGGGCCTACGCAGAGGGAGCTTGGAGGGAGGATGTATCCCAGCATCGTTGATGAGTATTGGGCCTACACTGGTCCTCCTCCTCCTCCTCCCCTCCTGCCTCCTCCTCCTCCTCCTCCTCCTCCTCCTCCTCCGCCTCCTCTCCTCTTCCCTCCTCATCCTCTCCTCCTCCTCCTCCTCCTCCTCCTCCTCCTCCTCCTCCTCCTCCTCCTCCTCCTCCTCCTCCCTCCCCCTCCCCTGCCCCTCCTCCTCCTCCCCCTCCCTCCTCCCTCCTCCTCCCCCTCCCCCCCGCCTCCTCCTCCTCCTCCTCCCTCCTCCTCCCCTTCTCGCCCCTCCTTCTCCTCCTCCTCCTCCTCCCTCCTCCTCCTCCTCCTCCTCCTCCTCCTCCTCCTCCTCCTCCTCCTCCTCCTTCTCCTCCCATCCAGGCCTCTCCAGGGCCCTTTCTCGTGGCCATCTCTCCCGCCCCCCCCCCCTGCTCTTCGCGCCCCCCGCAGCGAGGCGCGACCTCTGCGAGAACCCCCTGACATCTCCGCGGACCGAGCGAGCGCGAGCCTCTCCGGGGGCCACCTCCCGGGTCGCGGCGCCTCGCCGCGTCCCCGACCGCGGGTGCGCTCGAGACCGCCCCTGCGGGCCCGTCTGTTTCCCATCGCCAGAAAGACTTTCGAGCGCCACGAAAAGCATCGGGAAGAGTGTTGAACGAGTATCGCCTCCCAGGGCCCGACACGTGAAAACCCTTCCGTTTCGGCACTTTCCTGGCAGGCTGGAAAATCATAACCCCTGGGCCGATCCTGGCGAGAGCTGTTCCCGAGCCGCACCCCCAAAACTCCCTCGGGGAGACGTAAGACTCAGCTTCGGGGGACTCGGGTTGGCCTGACGGGGCCGTCATGAAAATGACGAGACCCAATCTGTAATTTGACGCGAGCCCCCGCTGCAGACACCCCACAAAACCTGGACTGTCAAAATCCAGGACGCGCATCCCTCCAGCGAGAGGTCACTCCCACGCGCAGCCGAACCCGTGCCAGCTTTAGGTCGGGCATGTCCTCCTACAGGGGGATTCTGGACGAAACATCAAAATATGCATAACATACGCCCCAAAAAATAGCCCCAGAAATCGTCTCCAGACTATTGCTTGCCTAGTTTTGAATATTCCTCCTGTAGAGGGACAGGCCCGACTTCACGCCAGCTGCAGAGCGAGCCCTCCGTGCCAGGCGGCCTTCTCCAGGATCGTGACGAAGCCGTGCGGCTTACCGCCCTGCCACTCCCCGCGGATCTGCGGGGCAAGCGGGGCGCGCGGTCCCGCCGCGCCGCCGCCGCCGCCGCCGCCGCGCCGCCGTCGTCGTCGTCGTCGCTGCCGTCGTCGTCGGCGCCGTCGCGGTCGGCGCAGTCGTCGTCATTGCCGTCGTCGCCGGCGCCTGCGAGCCGCTGGGCAGGGTGCACACACCCCAACCGTGTCGATTGTCCCACTTCCAGTCCCCCTCGTAGGCCTCTCCTGGGGAAGCCGGACTTCCAGATCTCCGACGACTTGCTGTTGACAGACCGTCCTGTGGTGTTGGGCCCTCGTCTTGGAGAGACAGCGCCCCGCGTCCTCCTTCCTTCCCGCTGCCCCCTCCTCCCCCTCCAATACCTGCACCTTCCATACGCACTTCAAACACATTCGGCACACCCCTCACAAGTTCCGTCGCCCCATAGGGAGCTCCGCCGAAGGCCATGGTGGCTGCGTTCGCATGGCGTCGTTGCACACAGTTCGGCACACACGCTTCGTGGCCCCATAAGGAACTCCGCCGAGAACGGAAGTAGCTACGTTCGCATGCTTCACCAAACCAGCTCCGGCACACCTCTGACACGCTACGTGGCCCCATAGGGAGCTCCGCCGAAGACCCAAGAGGTTGCGTTCGCATGGCATCACCACGCATCAATGTCGGCACACCCCTCACACGCTTCGTAGCTCCATACGGAGCTCCTCCGAAGGCCCCAGCGGCTGCGCCCACAAGGCAACGCCGCACACCCCTCTCACGCTTCGCAGCCCACTGGAAACTCCTCCAGAAGACCATGGTGGCTGTACTCACATGGCGTCGCCGCACCCATGGCGGCACACCCCTCACACGTTTCGTGGCCCCACAGGGAGCTCCCCCGAAGGCCCTAGCAGCTGCGTTCGCCTGGCGGCGCCGCACACATGTCGGCACACCCCGAATACGCTTCGTGGCCCCATACGGAGCTCCTCCGAAGGCCCCAGTGGCAACGTCGACATGGCAGGGTCGCACCCATGTCGGCACACTCCTGACACGCTACGTGGCCCCATAGGGAGCAACCCCGAAGGCCCTAGCGGCAGGATTCGCACGGCAGCGCCGCCCAAACTCGGTTCACCCCTCACGCTTCGTGGCCCCACAGGGAGCTCCACCAACGGCGCCAGTGCCAGCGCCCGCATGGCGACACCTCACCATGTTGGCACACCCCTCACACGCTTTCTGGCCCCATGGGGGGCTTCCTTTTTTTCGTCGAACCTGCCTTGCAATACTCACGCCTGCATCATTCTGGTTGGGTCCTTCGCCAAAATAATGTTAAAGCACGGCGTTGTGTTACAAACTTCTGCCTCTGGGGTCCATTATCGGGCCGCGGGACCATCCAAGATTGATTCAGGAGGGAAACCTATCCTGGGGAAGGGGTCGGGACCTCGGAATGCGCGCATTGAAAAACTCATGTCGTCGGATGTCTGGGAAAGACCACATGCACACAATCGAGCAGTCGAGTGTGATTAGTGGGTCGATCCTGCCAACGAACGGGTGGCGTTGTGCCTTGTGCATAGCGTCTCATGTTCTCTGCACTCCTGCGGCAAGGGCATTGGCTTTCTACGATTGAGCCGTGTTGCCCTCGGAAGATACTTCTTCTTGGAGGCGGCCAGGGAGTCGAACAGGATGGGCCTCAAGAAATAATGTCAAGAAATGGGGGAAAAGGCAGTTCCGCTCAGAATCGGTTCCCAGACCCCTCCCAGGGACCATCTGATGCAGTTGTTCACCTCAGATCCGTTTTCGTGATGATCCTCAGGACCGAAAACGGCCCGCGGGGATCGAACAAGGCAACCAAGCCAAACAAACAAAAAACACTGCATGTCTCGCAGCCAGAACCTCGAATCTCCTCTCCCCTTCCTGCTGGCCGGGAACCAGGGCTGAGCTACCTCAGACCCCCGGCCTGCTCCAAACACCTTCATCTCACATGCCCTCCCAAATCAACCCCGACTGTAGGCTGTCAGATGTCTGCGGGCGATCTCGCCGCACCTCTGGGCGGCGCCTCTGCCCCCCCCCCCCCCCTTCCGTCGCGCGGAGAGCGCAGGGGGAGGGGAGCTCACGGCGTGCAGCTCCCCATGCGCGCACCTAGTTGCACGGACCTGTCCGCCGTGAGCGTCTAGGCGCAAGGGTTTTCGAATATAAGCGGGCTTGAGGTATAAACGGGTTTTCGTGTGGCTGAGTGCGAGTGTCAGTTAGTCTGGGTGTGAGAGAGTCTGAGTACGAGCGGGTCTGGGAATGCGTAGGTCTGAGTACGAGTGAGGCTGAGTGAGAGTGAGTCTGAGTGTGGGTAAGTTGGGGTGTGAGTGGGTCTGAGTATGAGTATAACGAGCACGAGTCTGACGTCTGAACGGGACTGGGTACGAGCGAGTGTGACTACGAGTGAATATGAGGGCGGGTGGGTCTGAGTGTGAGTGATCCTGAATGTGAGTAAGTCTGGATATGAGTGAGTCTGGGGATGGGCGTGATGAATATGAGTCTGAATATGGGTGGGTCTGAGTATGAGTGAGTCTGAGGGTGGGTGGCTCAAACTGTAAACGATTCTGAAGATGCGTAAATCCGGATGTGAGTGAGTCTGAGCATGAGTCTGATGAGTATGAGTCTGCGTATTAATGGGTCTGTGCACGAGTCAGTTTGAGCATACGCGATTCTGAAACATCCTCGAATCTGGGCCCCTTTGGGGTGTTGAAACCAACACCCCACCCGAGACATCCTCAGAATCTGCTCTGAACACAGACGAATCTGGTCACCAAAACAAGCAAACCGCCCGAGACATCCTCGCAATCTGAGCCCCTTGGGGTGCGAAAGCAAGCGCCTCGCCCGAGACAGCCTCAAAATCTGATCCGAAAGCGGAGGGTGTTGGGGGCGCAAACATGCAAACCGTTCGAAAAATCCCGGCAATCTGGGCGCGAACGGAGAAGTGCAGTACCCCCTGGCGGCCCCCCTTGGGCGTGCTGAAAGCAGCGCCTCGCCCGAGAAATCCTCAGAATCTGCTCTGAACACAAACAAATATGGCCACCAAAATAACTCGACGCGGGAATCCCCACATGTGCATCTCATTATCTTGATACGTCTTTCTCTTGATATATGTCAATGAGCGCCTGTGTGCGAGGGCGAACCGCTCGCTCGAGACATTCCCACAGTCTGCAAGCATGAGTGCGACAAATAGCAAATCTGAGAGCGACTGATGCTGAGTGTGAGTTAATATGGGTGCGATTGAGCCTGGGTTTGAGTGGGTATGCGTGGGAGTAAATATGAGCGCGAGTGTGCCTGTGTGCAGGTGGGTCTGGGTATGGACGAATTTGAGTGTGAGCCAGTCTGTGATTGAGCGGATCGTAGCATGATGAATCTGAGCATGAGTGAGTCTGGGCTTGAGTGGGTCTGAGTGTGAGAAAAAGTGTGTGTTAACGAATCTGAGTGCGAGTGAGCCGAGTGTGATTGGGTATGGATGTGAGGCAGTCTGACTGTGAGTCGGCCTGCGTTTGAGCGGACCGAAGGATGATGAGTCTGAGCAGGAGCGGGTCTGAGTATGAGTGGTTCTGAGCGTGAGTCTGAGTGTGAGTAAAGTTAAGTATGGATACGAGCGAGTCTAAGTGCGAGCGAGCCTGCGTGTGACCGAGTCGGAGTATGAGTGAGTATGAATGCAGAAGAGTGAAGGAGAGCGGAGAGCGAAGGACAGTGAGGAGGAAGCGTTTGAGTAAAACCTGAAGCCTTGGAACATCGAAACTCGATCGTCTGGCCCTGGCTACTCGAGTTGCCCACGTCCTCCTCCTCCTCCTCCTCCTCCTCCTCCTCCTCCTCCTCACCATCATCATCATCATCATCATCACCCTCTCATTCCTGCTTCTGCTCCTACCGTGTTCATGCTGTCCTCCTTCTCCTCCTCCTCCTCCTCGTCCTCTTCCTCCTCCTCCTCGTTTTCCTTCTTCTCTTCTCTTCCTCCTCCTCCTCCTCCTCCTCCTCCTCCTCTTCCTCCTCCTCCTCCTCGTCCTCTTCCTCCTCCTCCTCCTCCTCCTCCTCCTCCTCCTTTTTTTTCCTCCTCCTCCTCCGTGGGAATGCTGACACCAGCAAATCGCCTGAGACATCCTCCCAAAACTGCTCCGAAAACGACAGATGCCCAGCATCATAACGGCCAAACCGCCTGAGACATCCCCGCAAACTGGGCGCGAACGTCCTCCAAATCTGCCCCGAAAGCGAAACATGCTCGCCTGAAACATCCCCACAAACTCCCGCGAAAGGGGCCCAGTGAAATACCCCCTGCCGCTCCCCTTAGGAGTGCTGAAACCAGCGAATCGCCGGAGACATCCTCCAAATCTGCTCCGAAAGCGAAACATGCTGGAAGAGAAAATGGCCAAACCGCCTGAAACATCCTCACAAAATCTTGCGAAAGGGGCAGAATGCAATACCCTCCCGCCGCTCCCCTTAGGAGTGCTGAAACCAGCGAATCGCCTGAGACATCCTCCATATATGCTCCGAAAGCGAAACATGTTGGAAGAGAAAATGGCCAAACCGCCTGAGACATCCCCACAAAATCCAACGAAAGGGGCAGAATGCAATACCCCCCCGCCGCTCCCCTTAGGAGTGCTGAAACCAGCGAATCGCCTGAGACATCCTCCAAATCTGTTCCGAAAGCGAAACATGCTGGAAGAGAAAATGGCCAAACCGCCTGAGACATCCCCACAAAATCCTGCGAAAGGGGCCGAGTGCAATACCCCCCCGCCGCTCCCCTTAGGAGGGCTGAAGCCACAGAATCGCCTGAGACATCCTCAACATCAGTGTGTGCGAGTCATCCGATGAGTCATGACTGAGTCCGAGTGATGAGTGAGTCTGAGTGATGGATGAGTGAGTCTGAGTGATGAGTGGGTCTGAGTGATGAGTGAGTCTGAGTGATGAGTGAGTGGGTCTGAGTGAGAGGAGGTGAGGTGGCGTTCTGTTCTCTCTCTCTCTCTCTGTTCCTCCGGCGCGGTCCGCCAATTACTCGACGCGGGGCCCCCCACATGTGTATCTCATTCTCTTGGTACGTCTTTCTATTGATATCTGTCAATGAGCGCCTGTGTGCGAGGGCGAACCGCTCGCTCGAGACATTCCCACAGTCTGCAAGCATGAGTGCGACCAAGAGCAAATCAGAGAGCGAGTGATTCTGAGTGTGAGTTATTATGGGTGCGATTGAGCCTGCGTTTGAGTGGGTATGCGCGTGAGTAAATATGAG